CACTGATTGAAGTCTTTCATCTCCAACACTTCTGATTTTTAATGTCTTCAACATCTCAATTTCCATGCTGAATCTCCCCGCCCCCCCTCGTGTGTGTGTGTGTGTGTGTGTGTGTGTGTGTGTGTGTGTAGAAAGGTATGTGTGGAGGGTAGAGAACAACCTTAGTATCAGTCCTCATCTTCCATGCAATCTCTCCATTTGCTCCCGTGTACCCGAGGCTATCTTGCCTATCATCTCTGGTGAATTTTTTTTTGTCTCTGCCTCCCATCTCACTGAAGGGACATTGGATTCAGAGGCAGGTGGTACTGTGCCTGGCTTTAAGTAGATTCTGGACTCAATCTTCATTCTTGACACGTGCTTTACCTACTGAGCTATGTCCCCAGCCTCTGAATTATTTTTCCTTGCTTCATTCATCTACTTGTTTAATCCTCCATGAAGTGACTGAACATATTTAAAAGTGGGATTTTGAATCATTTGTCTGGGATTTCAGCGATTTGTTAGTTTTGTTTTGAGTGTTTAGGAACTGTAAGCCTATGGTAGTGTCCTTGCTTTGTTTTTGTTTGTGACTTGCACGTCTGTTTGGGTAGACCATCTTTCACGGTTTCTCCCTTCATGTGGATCTTCTTACTGAGTAGTTTTCTCTTGAGCTTATGATCTCTGCCGTATAGAGGGAGGAAGCAAAGAGTGGTAACACAAGCAATGATTTGTCAATGATCAGGTAATAGAATAAAAAGTAATTAGGTACATCATTTATATTCCCAATAAAGTTAGAGCTATTGATAGGATACAGTAGGTGTTTAAAGATTATTAAGACTAGAGGTATTAATAATGAAGAAGTGAAAATAAGGAGAAGTGAAGTAGGAATAAGAAATAAAGCACACAGGCTCAAGCTTTGAGAAATAAGAGAGAATGGGATAGAACAGGTGCAGATAAAGGATAATTATAAATCCCAATCAAGTGACATCAAAACTGAAAAAAAATAGCAGAGCAAAAAATAAAAACAGTATATTAGAAGTCAATATTTTTTCCTTGTTGGAATGAATGTTGATTCCCCTACCCCTAGGTCTTTGAAGCCTGCTCTGCTGGTGAGAAAGCAGCTGTTATCTGTCTGTGCTCAAACAGGTTAGAGCAGAATGGCTGTATACAGTTTGCTTTCTGTGTATTTTCTCTGCTCCATTGAATTCCTGTGTGGACATGACTTGAAAGCTGTTCCCTGATGCTTAGAATGAATATCTCTGGCCATCAGCACAAAGTGTCCTCTTGGGTGCTATCCTTCATCTGTGTGATGCTGGTTGATCACACTTTCCACTGTATATTTCAATGTCTAAGATGGTGGTAGATACATGCTTGGATTTTCTTTTGCAGTTGGATAGCCTTCTGTTCCCAAAGTTCAGGATACTTTTCTGCCAGTGTCAGCAGTCTGCACAAGTTTGTGTTCAAGTCAGCTCTGTTTCCTTGTTTACAGAAGTTGAGGGCCGTCAGACAGTGAAGGTAGTGGACCTTTGGATTAGGATATGTGATAATGCTGAATAGCCTGATCACCTTGGAGAAGAACCTTGGTTGTAATGTTCTAGTTCTATTTCTGCTGCTGTAATAAAAGTATCCAGAACAACCCAGAGCCCCAGAATAGAACCAAACACAACTGGCAAAAAAATGTCAATGAGATGATTCCTAATGCTATTCGTCTATACTCATAGATTGGTGCCTAGCCCAGTTGTCATCAGAGAGGTGTGATCCAGCAACTCATGGGAGCAGATGCAGAAAACCACAGCCAAACACTAGGTGGAGCCTGGAAAACTCCGCAAAAGATGGGGAGGAAGGATTGTAGGACACTGGGAGAATACTGCCTACAGAATCAACTAAACAGGTCTCATAGGGGCTCAGAGACTGAAGTGACAAACATGGACCTGTATGGGTCTGAGTTAGGTCCTCTGTATATATGTTATGGTTGTGTAGCTTCTGTTCTTGTTGGACTCCCAACAGTGGGAGTGGAGGGTGTTTCTAACTCTTTTGCCTGCTCTTGGGACTCTTTTCTTCCTACAGGGTTACCTAGTCTAGCCTTGATATGAGTGTTTGTGCCTAGTCTTATTGTAACTTGTTCCACCATGTTTGGTGGAGACCTGTTCTTTCTGTCTCTGTCTCTCTATCTGAAGGGAAATGGAAGAAGAGTGGATTTGAGGGAGGTGAGGGAGGGACTGGGAGGAGTGGAGGGAGGGAAACTGTGGTTGGAATGTAATAAGAGAGAAAACTTAAAAATATATCTTGTCAAAAAATAACTTATGGGAGAAAGAAGTTTATTTCAGCTTAAAATTCTAGGTTACAGCCCATCATTGTGGGAAAGTCAAGACAGGAACTTCAAATAACTAGACATATCACATCCATGATCAAGAGCAGAGAGAAATAAATGTACCTATGTTCACTTGCTTGCTTGTCTGTATTCTTCTTGAGTTCTACCCTGTGGTACAGTTCAGATTCTCCTGCTTAGGGAATGATGCCACCCACAGTGATCTGGGTCTTCTTGTATCGTTTAATTAAGAAAACGCCTATAGGCATGTCTACAGGCCAGCCCAATTTTGTCCCTAATTGAGGCTGACTTCTCAGATGATTCTAGATTGTTTCAAATGAATAATTAATATCATCCAGAGTTTCTCTCAGAATCAGTCTCCTCAGTCCCAGCCTATGAGGCAGGGGGGGGCACAGCAGCACCTTCTCCAGCATCTGCTTCTGCAGTGTCCATGTTATTATTATGAGTAATAATAATAATAAAATATGACTATTCTTTGGATAAACTCTGGTCTTATCCTAACATGATCTGTCAACCTCTGTTTCAAAGAACCTGCTGTGGAGTATTACATGATATGGGAATCCACAAGTCATAATTTGGAAAACTGTTCTTTAAACAAAGTTAAATGCAGCTTTTGATTAGGGCTCTTCTTTAATATACTATGGTGAATTGTGAATATTACAGGGAGAATGTGACAGGTAGCATTCACAAAACCCATTTGACCCTAAATCTTTCTACATAGGCCCTAAGCTGACACCAACTTTCTCTGACAACCTTGAAGAAACAGTAGTCTAAATCAGACTCCCAAATGTGGCTAATAAACATTTTCAATGTGGAAATGCAATTGAAGAATCATGTTGTTAATTGCAGTTGGTTTTAGTTGATCTAAATATAAGTAGCCACAGTGGTTGATAACTACTGGGTTGCACAGCAGAGATTTATATACCAACAAAGCTGAACCTTGTTTCATTGAGCTGGATGTGAATGACAGTTGAAGAGCACAGACCATAAACCTGTTTTGAATGCTTCTGTGACAGTGAAGATTGCTTTTCACTTGTCCCTGGCTGTGTGGATCTATAAGTAAGACTCTAGTTTCTTACCTCGTCTGTGCATTTGCAATAATAACACCTCCCCCCACAGACTTGAGTGAGCACTGAGATTATGAAGAACTTTGGGCATTGTAAAGTGCCAGACAAATAGGAAGTATTCATTAGCAAGTCCCTTGATTAGCAACATTATGCTGCCCTCCAAAAAAAGGTTTCAAAGACCCTTTAAAGTAATATGTAAAAGGCATGGAAAGGCTTGAGATCTCAGGTAGAACAGCATTTGCCAAGTTTAATCTCTAGAACCCAGATAAAAAGATGGTCATGGTGTTATGCAGTTATTATCCTAGAGCTGTGAGGGCAGAGACAAATGTATCTCTGGGGGTTGTTGCCCAAATAGCCTAGCTGAATCAGAGTCCTGGTTCCCAGTGGGAGACCCTGTCTGAAACACATCATAGATACTGTGTGCACCTTCCTGCACATCCAAGTGTACACATGTACCTCACAGGAAAACATTTAATTTTAGCTGTTAATGAATGAAAATAAACTGTCAGAGCATGAAGCACACCTCACAAGAAGCTAATGCAAAGATGAGTAATGGGAAGTTCTGCCTCTTTAGAAGGCCAATGCTTATAAAAGGAAACCCAATATAAAATGAAATTCCTAAAATCAGTAAGTTGAGATTAATTTGTTGGATCTGAAGAAGGTTTTGATGCAAAGACAAATTGTATCCAGTTTCCTAGATCTTAGTGAAGGAAAATCAAGGAACTACCTAAGGAGCAGATTCCTTCCCAGCACCATTGGAGCTAATGTAGTGATGACCTGCAGCCATTGTTACTAGGTGCCACTTGGATCCTGATCCCAGTAATGTCTCCTTCTACCTGCACTAATGATGTACACATTGAGATCTTGAATGGACACGTTGTGAGCATGAATCTTTAATAGCACCTAGTAAGAACTGTCAAGATGGTCATATCCACCTCTAAACAAAGCATTTTTCACTGAGGTGTCTGATGGAGCCTTAAGTTAAGTATCCTTATGTTAGCTGGGAACTTTCTACACATAAAGGGGGAGGGACAATATCTTTGTAGATTATTAAGAAAAATATGGTAAATTCATTTCCAGTATTTTGATATTGGTTAATGTTGACTTCTCCGTAATACTGATGTCTATATATGGAAGTTTTATCCAAGGAATAAAACACATTTTCAAATGTGTTTTCTAATTTGGTGGAGGTCAACTTGCTAGCTTTCTAGCTAACTAAATTATACTGGTAGCACGGGTGTGACATAAAAATATGCTCTTGTGTTTATCTCAGGGTGCAGCTGTTAACACAGCTGAGAGCAGGTGTGCTGAACATCACTAAAGACCCAACCTGCTCATCCAGTCACTAGACATAGCCACCAAGAAGAGCAGTTATTCTACATCCAGTACTTCCTCATCCCTTTCTACTTGAATGTATTCACTGGATTTTTGGATTTTTGGCATATCTACAATAAAGTCCTTATTGTCAATGAAAACAACAGAAATTTGACAATGATGGCATTTGAGTAAATATCCGGGAAGAGAAGCTACATGAAAAGGGTTTTTGAAAATATTAGCACATTGTACATGGAAAACATTTCTTCTTATTTGTCTCTAAGGAATCTTATAGGTGTTTCATTTTATAACAGAATATGGAAGATTGCCAAGTGGCTTCCTGCAAAATTGGCATGTCAGATTCAAGCACAGTAATAAAACCAGGACCAAAAGCCAGTCAGGTATGATTTTTCTTCCTTAGATCGTGTATTTCTTTTCCCCCAAATACTGGAGAAGCATCTCTGGGTTTGCACATATTTTACATCTCTACTGTTTAGCTTTATCTTAATAAATTCCTTGGTATGGCCATGCCTGCAGTCCCAAATTCACTCATTAGTGTTTTCAGCAAACACTCAGTGAGTGTCCATGCACACTGGAGCACTGACTTAGACTTCACAACAAGCCTTGCTGGGTTCTGCATGGGAAGAGCACACAGTGGTCGGAAATCAATACGAGTGCAAGTCAGTGCAGTACACCCTGCCAAGTGTTGTAATAAAGGCTGACAAACGAGCTGTGGGAGAACAGAGCTGGGAATGAATAGTGTTTCTGGGAAAAAGAAGCATCCCATCACAGGGGATGGCCTGGAAGGAGATTAGGGTTTCTCAAGGCAGCCACCAGTAAGGGGTTTTAAAACCAGATAATATATTGAGGGAGTCACCCTTGAATAGGCCAAAAAAATATAAGCATTATAACAAATATAATATGCCTTGATATGGCTGGACACATTGGAGGCTATAATTTTTGTTTGGTGTCCATGCCTCTGCCGAGTAATGCCTGAAGGGTTTCAGTCTTCTTCTCTTTGATGTCCCTTCAGAGTCCTGTGGATGCCATCACCATCTTGCGCCAGTTTCCATTTTCCTCAGCCCTTCAGAGGATGTCTGTGATTGCTCAGCTGTCTGGTGACCTTCACCCCCACGTCTACATGAAGGGTGCCCCGGAGATGGTGGCCAGGTTCTGCCGAACTGAAACAGGTACTGCCATTTTTTTCTTTCAAGAGGTAAAACATTTTAAAAGGCCAAACACAGGAGGCAAACATCGGTACCGACACAGTAAGGCACATGAAGACATAAACTGCCAAAGCCAGTGAAGACTTGTAGGTAAATGAAAGCGGCACAGAAGATCCGGTAAGGCAGAGGGGGAGATTGGAAGGTGCAGAGGTAGAGAGTAAACGTCTGGTCACCACCATACAGTCAGAAGAGTACACCCACACTGGACGTCATAGCAGAAGATGTAGCACAAAACTGCAGGAGGTACATGGACTAGAAGACTAGGGAGGAAACCTAGGGTAGGATTTGAACACTTGACCAGAGTTGAAGAACAGGGCACTCTGTTAACTCCATGCAAGGGGAACAGGGTTGAGTCTGCTATTACGAGGTGAGACAGAGCAATAGAAAGGAAATTGTGTGTGTGTGTGTGTGTGTGTGTGTGTGTGTGTGTGTGTATGTGCGCGAATGTGTGTGTGTATGTGTGTGCGTGAATGTGTGTGTTTGCGTGTGTGTGTGTGTGTGTGTGTGTGTGTGTGT